ATGCATAGCGCGTCGTCAAAAGCTGCTTCATAAGTTAAGTTTCGTTTCTCCGCACCGCTCCGGGGTAAAACAAATGGTAGTTACATCACAGCTGTGCGGCTGGCTGACAGCTGTAGCTACGTACTGTGTGTGTGTGTATTTCGCGGGTTGCTAAATGCTTTGTGTGTGTTTATGTTGACAAGGAGGTTTAATAACTGTGTGCTACACAAAACGTGCAGTCAGTTTCATTTTCATCGTCGTTCGTAGTAGAGTTAGCAGGGTATTTTTATTTTAACTCTCGTCCCAAATTCGTCCCAAAATTAATTTGTATCCTCCCCGACCCGATTTTTTTCGGCCCCGGGACGACGGGACGTCCTTAAGCTCGAGCCCTGATACAGTCTATGGTTTTAAGTTAACTTGGAGGCTAAGATTAGCATCGTTAGCACCGATGTAGCTACCACTCGCTTACACGCTAACCCAAGCCTTAACATTCATTACGTAGCTGATTGAAATCATAAACACATAAATAAAGTACTCGAATTTCACTTACCGCAAAACGGCATTCATGCACCGTCTGTTTTAACCGCAGAGCGAGTCACAATAGTCCCATATATAAGCATGAAGAACAAACAAACACGGCCGGGGTCAAGTTGTGTTCCCTGGATGAACTGACCAGGCAGAGTCGCTGTAGCTTCACGGAGACGGAGCAGCTAGCAGAGAGACAAAAAGCTAACAGCAGCTGTCACTCAATGTGACCACGCCGTAATTTATGCAAAAACTTTAAGACCTAATATAAATAAAAGGGTCATGTTAGAAAACAATTCACTCACAGATTCATAATCATGAAGGTGGAATCTAACTATATACATAATAAAATGTATTGCAGCCAGGGCTAGAAACGTTTTTTTTCTGCTGTGAAAATGGGCATTTTAACATGGGGGTCTATGGAAATTGCTCCTTTCTGCAGTCATCGCCTATCGGCCAATATATGAACTGCAGTTTGTGGCACTTCCGTATTGGCGTCCCGGCTCTTCCCCAGAGTTTGCCGCTTGGTCAGCCCCTATGCCAAAACTCCCTTTTATGGAAGGTTTGGCAGCGGAGTAGGCCACCAGAGAATACTACAGCTTCTTAGCTGTGGCTCCACAGCTGCTTGCATGTCCCCTGAACACAGTTTTGTGGGGAATGGAAGCCCAGCTGTGTACTGACAGAGTAGAGGGGCAGGACACTGAGACTGGGTTACTCACTCCAGCTTTGCAGCGTCCCTCCTCCATTCAGGGGCAATAGAGAGGCAAATCTATCATCCTGGGAGGAGATAGGTTTCCTTTCAACAGGAAGTCGAAAAGAGGCCCTGTTGCAAGAATGGTGGGTTACGTATTGTAACCCTAGTTCTAGAGTGATGTGTGTGTGAAAAATGCATTTAGTAAAAACTATTGCATTTATCCCAGAGTAAGAGTCATCTCTCTCCACAATTCCACATTTTCCCATAATGTCTCGTTGAGATCGGCAAGGCCGTTTTCATACGATGTTAATTGGACACCCATTATGAGGCGCGGCCCCCGTGAGAGTGGCCGCGGTGCGTTCAGGGACCTCCGCAGAAGAACAGTGGGTTACGTAGTGTAACTCTAGTTCTAGAGTGATATGTGTGTGTAAAATGCATTCAGGAAAAAACGATTGCATTTATCCCAGAGTAAGAGTCATCTCTCTCCACATTTGCACTTTTCACCATAATGTCCATTTCAAAGAGACGGCATTAGGACAGAGCCACGGCCCCACGGGAGCGTGCCGTGGTGCGTTCAAGGACCTCAGTAGAAAATCGGCCCTTTTCTGTGTCAGCCCCCATGCCAAAACTCCCTTTTATGGAAGGTTTGGCAGCGGAGTAGGCCACCAGAGAATACTACAGCTTCTTAGCTGTGGCTCCACAGCTGCTTGCATGTCCCCTGAACACAGTTTTGTGGGGAATGGAAAATCAGTTGTGTATTAACAGATGGACAGGACACTGAGACTGGGTTATTCACTCCAGTTTTGCAGCATCCCTCCTCCGTTCAGAGGCATGAGAGAGGCAAATCTGTCATCCCAGGAGGAGATAGGTTTCCTCTCGGCATGTGCACTCTCAAGTCAGAGAGAAGGGGCACTATTCCCTCTACTTCCTGGTTCCAAGAAGACAGGAGAATTCAGGCCCATTCTGGATCTTCGATGCCTGAACCAGCACATTGCATGCCAGAAGTTCCATATGTTAACTATGAAACAGTAACTGGGACTGGTACAGCCAGGCGATTGGTTCACAACCATCGACCTGAAGGACGCTTACTTTCATGGCGAAATTGCTCCAAAACACAGAAAGTATTTGCGTTTTGCCTTCCAGGGGGTAGCCTACGAGTACAACAGACTGCCGTTCGGCTACTCCCTATCCCCACGCCCGGTCAGCCACGGCGCTGCAACCACTGGCATGGCATGAGGGTGTTCATTTATCTGGACGACCTCATAGTCATGGCCAGGTCCAGGGAATGGGCAATGTTTCACACAGCCCAATTGGTCAATTGGAAGAAGAGCTCCCCCATACCTCACCAGCAGGTAGAATATCTGGGGGTGATGCTCGATGCAGGCAGACTATGTGCCACCCTGACAGAAAGCAGACAGGCATCCCTGCTACGGGCAGTCTGCAGGCTGCGTCAGGGGGCGACGGTGACAGCTTTGATCATCATGCAGACTTTGGGTCTCATAACGGCTGCTCACTCCGTAGTGCCACTCGGTGGTGGTTTACCGGCCTTCGTTTAGATCCCAAGACACAAACGACATCTGGTGACCATCCCCCCCTCAGTAGAGAGCAACCTCCGATTCTGGGGGTCCCCAGAGAATCTGCGGAGGGGAGCTCCACTGGGGCAGGTAACCTCCTATATCACAGTCTTCACAGACGCTTCAGTGACAGGATGGGGGGGGACGTGCCTAGAGAGAGCTGTGGGTGGTTGCTGGCGTCTGGCAGAGGCGCGGCACATTCTACACGGGCTGTGGCTGTGTCAACAGCCTTATTCAGCGGCGTGAGTGTAGAAGATATATGCACGGCGGCGTCTTGGTCTACGCCAGGCTCCTTCCTAACATTTTATCTCCTGGACATGTCTGGCTCCTTCTCGTCGTCTGTGCTTGCCGAGGCAACGCATGACTGGTGAGAGGGGGGGTGGCTGTGGGTCAGTAGGTATCTGACCCCCCCCCCCTGGACATAAAGCACTTGTGTTTTCCCATGCTCCTGAGGGACTCGGGAGACATGGCATGGTGCGCAATCAGCCCCTATGGGCAGGCTGGGAGAGCCTTCCTCACTATTGTCCATGCCCACTCTACAAGGAGCGTGTGTGAGTGTGGGGGACGTGGTGCACTTATGTTTTCCCATGCTCCTGAGGGACCTGGGGAACATGGTGCGCGGTAGGCTCCAGACGGAGTCTCCACACAATTTTTTCCATGCACACTCTACACGAGGTAAGCGTGTGTGAGTGTGCCTTATCCAAGTTGCGGCCCTGACTTCTCCACGGTTACAACCGGATGGGAGGAAGTGGGGATGCAGTGGATGCTAGCCAAAAGCCGGTCAGGGACGGTGTGGAGGGTCGATGTTGTTGGACGACAGGGCGTTTATACACACATTCAGCCTGTGTGAAATATAACGGGGGGTTATGTATTGTAACCCTAGTTATATAAGCACAGGCGGAGCCCTCTATCTGGGGGCCCTGTCTTTCCTCGGCCGCTCGCTGAAGAGTGTGTAGGATAGCGGGCGGAGGGTGTAGCCGCCTTATATACTGTGGGCCTGCGCGCGCATTCAGGTAGGCTCGTCCCGATTGGCCGGCTACATTTACGTAACTCAGTAGGTGAAAGCACGCACAGCATGATAGAGAGTAGAACCCATAGAGTCCAGTAGAGGGCTCCGCCTGTGCTTATATAACTAGGGTTACAATACGTAACCCCCCGTTATGCTAAACAAGTGGAAAGATCAAATTGCACCCAAATAGATTTTGCAGTGGCAATATTTTGTAATAGTGTTGATTGATTTGTGATTTAATGTTGGTGGTAAATCGTAATAATATTTGTCTTAATGTATGCATGGTATTGTATTAAATGTGTTTTTTTTTTTTTACAAATCGTATTTTTTAAAGTAATAAGTGAATATACAATGACAATACAGATGGATTAAATTCCGTTATCAAGTCACCAACTTAAAAAAGGAGAATGTTGTTTTATAGCTATTAAAATAGAAAATATACATATAAGTGACATATCAATTAGCTCTATGCACATTCATTATAATTTTACATTATTACTGTTTTAGTTCTGTAATTCTGTATTAAATGTGCTAGTCCCCGGATTGGCTTTAAAGTGCCAGGTGTCAGGGTTGAGCAGAGCAGGTAGGAACCTGTTTGATGGTTTGAACTGATTACATTGCACCAGTACTCACTCCCTTGTAAACTCACAGGGACAAAAACAACAACCAGCGCTCTCTCCTTTGTGAAAGACTCAAGAATCCCACAACCATCAACAGAAAACCAGAACTTAAATACATGCAGAACTAATCAGAGGACGAGACACAGCTGGGCAGGGCAGGAAAAACACAAGGGCGCCACCAGGTGAAGAGAATCAGTAATCAGACAGGAGGGAAAACACAGAGAGACAGGAAGCAACACAGACAAAAGACAGACTTCACAATAGAACAGGAAAACAGACAGATCGTGACACTCCAAAATAAAACACAGAAAAACACTGACAGATCGTGACAACAGGGGCATATAAATACACTAAGCATAAGCCTTTTTAAAGCATCAAAATGGCATTTAAAAGATAATAAAAACACAAAACCTGTGAACACAACTTCCACAAAGTAAGCATATTAACGGCCTGGTTTTATAGCATTTTTATGCTTGCAAAATGTGTGCAAGTTTTCCTCAACATATCTTCTGACCTTGGACATAAGACAGCTGAAGGGTAATCAGTGTTATGCTGTGTGATATTTGACTCTCACAGTGCACACACTCCTGTCTGTGCAGCTAGGTGAGCTGGAGCCTCTGCTACAGAAGTTCAACACAGAGGAGGAGAAACAAATGGACAGGATGTTGCAGCGCATGGACATCTTAGTCAAGGTAAACTCACAGAAACTACAAAGAACAAGCAATAATCAAAAATACATCAACTGAGTAGTAGCTATAGTTTACCTAAATGCTGCGTGTTTATGCACATGGTGGTATGTTCATTGAGTCAACTTGTTTATTGTTTGAACATGCCCCAACAATGTAATCATTAAAGCAAGCTGTGCTTTTGTTGCCATGACATTTTTTTTTGTAGCATCTGACAATTAACTTGCTTATCAATAAAAGTTCACTTATATGTGACCTGAGGCCTGTACTACAAAGCTGGTTCAACTTAACCTGGATATGTTGGAGTTAGCCGGTTGGCCTAAGCCAAAACATACGCGCTGGCGCTAAGCTGTACTACGACGCCGGTTATCAAGTGGATCGCTCAAGCCAGCAGTGTCCTATCTAGTTAGGTGCGCGTTCACATGAAAGGGGTGGTATTTGGAGCATTCGACCAATCTCAAACACGGACAACCGTACTGACAGCGCAGCGTCATACTTCCTGAATGAAAAGTGAACTTTAATATTAGTCAAATATGAAGAAGTTAAACTTTAAACATCCATGTCTTAAACACTTTATCCAGGATAAAAGCCACATAGCTGCACCTGCAAGGTGAATACAGCTGGTAAAAGAAAAAGTGTTTGAATGCGTACATTAACAGGTTTATGAAATCACTGCCCCGTCCAAGACACGAGTGGATCTGACTTTAATTAGGAGAATTTGACTCGAGTGTTTCGTCAATTTAATGTGTTGCTTAAAATAATACTTCTGCATGTGACACTGTGAGTGTTGCACGGCCAGATACGGCTCAGCTGACTCAGATAAGGAAATATATGATACATTATGATGTGATATGATATGAATGATAATGGCACACATCGACGTCTGCACTCACAGTGCCGCGGACTGTACTTAATGTTACTCTGATCCGGTTACTTATGTCGTGGCAGATATTTAAGTAAGCTTTCTTAACGCTAATATTATAATAGTCAGATTGCTCTGAAGATGGGAGGGGATATTCTATTCATTTTCACGTTCACACAGTCAGTTGATTTTGGCCGGCTGTCTTTCCTGCAACGGCAGTTTTTCTGTATTTCCTCTATCCTGTAATATGAATTGATAGCTTTAAACTCCGCACACGGAGCTCTGATTGGTCAGCAGGCGGTGCTTTCACTGAGTTGATCTCTTAGCCTGCCACCTAACCTGGGGGCTATACTACAAATCTAGTTCAACATATCCTGGATATGTTTTGAGTTATCCGGCTGACTAAATCCAAAAAAAAAAAAACGCTCTCGCTAAACTGTCCTACGACCAGTGGCGGCGCCAGAGCATTTTTGTTGGGTAATCTATGGTAGGGCTAACCCATACAGTGGTGGTGCTCAAGTCAGTATTTGCAATGTAATTACATACACGCTATATCGCCCCCCTTGACAGTGAAACGCCACGCGTGAGGTTTAGATTATTTCCCTGTCTCAATCAAAATGGAACTGTATGAAATAAAACGGCACATTTGTCTTGTAGTAAATAAAAAGGGATCACTGTGAACGTGACGTATGATAGTACACGTTGAAGATCCAATGGGGATACTGAATGGCGGTTTCGATTGATCTCAATCAATAAGGCATGACGCAGATCCAACGTTGCGTTGCTCTGATTGGCTGTAGGTCTATTCAAATTGCATTCGGAGGCATTTTGATCTGACCGCGGCCGCGCTGATATTATAACGCCAGAGAATTTCCACACCTTTAGTGTATAAAACTCCCCCACTACTTAGACTATTCCTTGCACCCCTCTTATAGCATAAGCCCGAATGGTCTCAACCATATTGCATCAGTAACGTGCACTTGTTGTTACAGCAGGATCAGTTTGTGTGCTGTGGACACGACCCGTATATTTTCGCAATCCGTGTTCTCAACATTTAGCATTTCGCTTATTATTTAATTGAATTTGCATCACTTTTCATGGTGGGGCTAAGGTGGGGCTAAGCCATTTCTTGGTATGGCTGTAGCCTACCCCAGCCATACCCTGGCGCCGCCACTGCCTACGACGCTGGCTATCACCTCGACCGCAAGCCAGCCGTGTCCTATCTAGTTAGGTGCGCGTTCACATAAAAGGGGTGGTATTTGGAGCATTCGACCAATCACAAACATGGACAAGCCGTGTACTGACAGCGCAGCGCGTCATATATTTCCGAATGAAAAGTCAACTAATATTAGACAAATATGAAGACGTTAAACTTTAAACATCCATGACTTAAACACTTTATCCAGGATAAAAGCCACATAGTTGCAGCTGCAAGGTGAATACTGCTGGTAAAAGAAAAAGTGTTTGAATACGTTCATTAACAGTTTTATGATATCACTGCTGCCCCGTCCAAGACACGAGTGGATCTGACTTTAATTACATTTGACTCAAGTGTTTCGTCAACTTAATGTGTTGCTTAAAATAATACTTCTGCATACAGTATGTGACACTGTGAGTGTTGCACGCCAGATACGGCTCAAGAAACTGACTCAGATTAGGAAATATATGATGCATTATGATGTGATATCATGTGATATGAATGATAATGGGGTACGTCTGCACTCACAGTGCCGCGGACTGTAGGTTACTTATGTTGTGGCAGATATTTAAGTAAGCTTTCTTAACACTAATGTTATAATAGTCAGATTGCTCTGAAGATGGGAGGTGATATTCTATTCATTTTCACGTTCACACAGTCGGTGATTTTGGCCGGCTGTCTTTCCTGCAACGGCAGTTTAAACTGTATTTCCTTTCTCCTCCTGTCATATGAATTGATCGCTTTAAACTCCGCACACTGAGCTCTGATTGGTCAGCAGGCAGTGCTTTTATCCTGGAACCTATCCTGCTCCAGAGGATAGCCGTTCAGAATAAGTTATCGAGCCCGCTAAAAAGTGAACCAGCTTCGTAGGACCGGAAACCCCTGAAGTTAGCTTGCTAAACGAAAATCTTGATTCGTAGTATAGCCCCCTGCTCCGGAGCAGGTTTGCCGCTCAGCATAAGTTACCATGGAAATCTAGCCTGCTAAAAAGAGAACCAGCGTCGTAGGACCGGAAAGCCCAAGATTTCCCTGAATTTAGCCGGCTAAGCGAAAATCCAGCTTCGTAGTACAGGCCTCTGCTCTATCGAAATCAGTCGCATTGACCCGAAGACACATTTTGAGTTGTATACACTGTTGGAAAGAGGAGATCAAGAAATGATATCAAGATTTTTGTTGTACTCCAAATATTAAGCAAAATATGTCACATTATATAATGACTGTCACTGAGTCATCATTTTGAGAAAAAGGCCTTCAAAGTTTCCTCTTCTCTGGAATCTATCGATCTGATTGATTATTAGTGGAGCAAATGATCAAAATAGTCCGGAGGGAAAATATTTCCGTTTGGATTACTGGTCTGGGGGAAGCTCGCGAGTGTGAGTGTATGTGTGTGTGTGTGTTTGTGTATTTTTGCGTTTGTGTATATTGTGTTTGTTTCCCGGGGAAAACACTCACGAGAAACACCGGCTGTTGTTATGTTTGCTGTGACGTTAAGTTACTCCGTTCTCCGCTTGTAAATATGCCGTTACAAGCTTCATAGTTGTATTTATCATCTAAATTTGCCGAAACAAGTTTAATATTCTGAAAGCCAAGACTTTGTTTAATTGAAATCAGATGAAAACAAACTGTAACGGACCCTGCCGTGTTATCTATGATTACTATATGCCTTACATTCATAATTTCAGCCGGAGGGAGGGGGAGCTGCGCTACGGAACAGCAGATTGCGATTGAGGGGTGCCTGTCATCTTCCCTTTACAAGCTTCACAAATGTATTTATCGTGTGATTTTGGAAATAAAAGTTTCATATTCTGAAAGCCAAGACTTTGTTTATTTAAAATCAAACAAAACACCCGAACCCCGAAAAAATAGTTTTTTCCGCAAATCCACGTTTATTTTGAAATGAGCCGTTGCGACTTCCGACTGATTTCGATAGAGCGGGTCACATATGTACAAATCTTTTTCAATGTGCACAAATGTGTTGCTAGCTATTGTGTAAAAGCCGTACAGCTTAACATAAATATGGGAATAATAACGAATACAAGGTTAAGATACACTTTTATTTTTCTCCAGCCGGGAAACTTGGAATTCAAAGTAACAATGTATGTATAGAGCGAAAAAAGTGATAGAAAATATGTACACACTTGATAATGCTCCCATGTGTTTATTTACCACCAGGTTATGTTTTGAAGCATCAAGCCTTTTTTCGCGTAAAGAAAATAATACATACAGTAGACACACCAGCAAGTTCACCTGACAGTTCAAATCGTCTTAAACAGCTGCCCAGGATCGCATGCATAAAACAAATTGTATAAATGTATACATACATGTTGGATAGATCCATAATCATAACACATTGACACATTATTGCACACAATCTCATTCCTGTCCAAGCATCCTAAATGAATGTTGTAACTGTGTCACAGCCAGTGGCGGCCAGTCCATAGGGGCGCTAGGGGCGCCGCCCCACCTCTTCCCATATTAAAAAATAAAAATAAAAATAAAAATAAAAAATATATTTTAAAAAATATATATATTTTTATTTTTATTTTTAATGAACAAGGTAAATATTATATAATTGGTATCAGTAAAATGTATAATCTACAATAAAATCTCGTTTAAAATTGTGTTACGATGTCTAAAGTTACTGATAAGTCACATGTTTCCTGCCTGGCCTTGCCCGTGGGCGCTAAGAGAGGAGCCCTCAACCAGTGCAGCAGCAGCCACTAGCAGCTGACTGTTGCTATCTGTAACGTGTAAACTATGCCGCGAAAACATAATTTCAGCCAATCAGCGTCGTCAAATATGATGGTCACAGGGCTCCTACATGAGCGCCCGGTGCAGTCTGTGAGTTGTTTGGACTCGTATCCAAGGAGACAAAACAGGAAGCTGTCATACACTCTGGAAGCTACCATTAGCAGCTAATGAAAACTCAGTTTTTGACATAAGAATTATGGATCATCAATCATTTTTCAAAGTGACAGACACATTGGATTAACCTATGGATTAAGCTTCAGCTGCGTTTTTCTCGTTTTTGATCAGAATTGTTATTCTGCAAAAGGTGAGCATATCTCCATGTTTTGCTACCTAAAGCTACGTCGTGTGATGTCTGTATTTGCTTCCCCTGTCGCGAGTTCTGATCGATCAGTGATGATACTTATATTTCTAGAATATGTGGAATCTCAGCTTGTAAGCTTGTTTGTGCATATCCGATAAGTATATCGATTGATTTATACCTAGAGTGCGTTAGCATTTTTTCGCTCAGGGCTCATTTAGACGCTTCTTGTGAGACTTGTGTTTTGTTTCGGTAAACATGGTTCATATCATCAGTTAGATGCGTGTCCTCTGAGTAGGACACATGAATAGTTTATTACATTTTAAGAAGCCCTGAGACCAGGGGCGGACTGGGGCTACAAATCAGCCCGTGACTCTCGACCGGCCCACTTCGGTACCGCCGGCCCACCTCAGTAAATTACTAACGGGGGGTGCCGCAAATAAATACCGCGAGGAAATTGTCGACGGGGGGGGGGGGGGGGGGGGGCTAGTGACTTATCCGACCGGCCCACATCGTCCGACCGGCCCACTTCAGTACCGGCCCATCGGGATTTGTCCCGATGGCCAGTCAGCCCCTGCTTGAGACACAGTTTCGTGAGAAAAAAACCGGGGGAAAAAAGCCCCTTAACAGGTTAAATGGGAATTAAATCAGTGTTCCCAAAGCCCCGGTGTTCTGCAGTTTGTGTGGGCCTACTGTACTGTTGCACAGTTTATGCTGTAGAAACTATGTCCAGGACAAGGTGTTTGGAAGTTTTGGAAGATTCATAGCTAACCACACTGAAGTTATGGAGTGATTGATCAGTCTTCTCATATTTTTAAGCCTCAAATTGTCCTTCTCCCCCCCCCCCCCCCCCCCTCCCCCCCTCTAACATCACCAGAAGTCATGATTTAAGGGGTCTTTTCTCAAAAAAAATTACCGGGGGAGCATCCCCCCGGACCCCTCTAGTATTGTTTGATCACCATTTCCACAGCCCCACCTAAAATATTTTCCACCAGCCGCCACTGGTCACAGCGTATATGAACATGTAATGCATGGTAAAAATACACCAGATATAAAAAAGATATATGCAAAGCTCCACGGGGCACTTCAAAGACATACTCTCTCAAGTCAAAAGACCTTGAAGTGCCTAGAGCTTAATAAGAACATCTTGAATATGACATGACTAGAGCATCAGGCATCTCCAACAACACAAAAAGGACATTTCAACAATATGAGGGATGAATGTCTGCTCACCACCTCAAGCTCAACCTTGACAAGACTGAACTGCTTTTCCTTCCGGGAAAAGATTGTCCCACTCTTGACCTAACAATCAACATCGGCACCAGCAAGGAATCTGGGTGTGACCCTAGATAACAACCTGTCCTTCACTGCAAACATCGCTGCTACAACCCGCTGCTGCAGATACACGCTTTACAACATCAGGAGGATACGTCCCCTCCTGACCCAGAAAACGACGCAGGTTCTAGCCCAGGCTCTCGTCATCTCACGCCTAGACTATTGCAACTCCCTCCTGGCAGGTCTACCTGCATGTACCATCCGACCTCTGCAGCTCATCCAGAATGCAGCAGCTCGTCTGGTCTTCAACCTTCCTAAATTCTCCCACACCACACCGCTCCTCCGCTCCCTTCACTGGCTTCCAGTAACTGCTAGAATCCACTTCAAGACACTGGTACTTGCGTACCATGCTGTGAATGGTTCTGGCCCTTCCTACATCCAGGACATGGTTAAACCATACACCCCAGCACGTGCACTCCGCTCTGCATCGGCCAAACGGCTCGCTGCACCAGCACTGCGAGGGGGACCCAAGTTCCCATCAGCAAATCACGTCGGTTTGCTATCCTGGCTCCAAAATGGTGGAATGAGCTCCCCATTGAAATCAGGACAGCAGAAAGCCTACACATCTTCCGGCGCAGACTGAAAACTTATCTCTTTCGACTCCACTTTGAGCGATAGAATTACTAACAAAGAATTTCTAACAAAGCACTTATATACTAATAAAGGACTGACTTATCTAAAGCCAGTAGCACTTGAAATGTTTTAGCTCTATGAAACCTGATGAACTTATATGATTCTGTTTTCTTCAAGTTTGTATCTTCCTGGTCCAATTCCAGTTATTGTAAGTCGCTTTGGATAAAAGCTTCAGCTAAATGCAATGTAATGCAATGCAATGTAATGTATAAAAACATATAAACGTTATATTACATAAGAGAAGACAATGTGATGATGGTATATCCAGCAGATTAGTAAGAAAGGAAGATAAATGTTACCCGGTGGTGCATAAATGTGTTAATGGGAGCCTTTTTTAGACTATATTATTTCATATTTTACATATTCTCATCAGTATTCATCATCTGGATGTGCATGCATTTTTAAACCTCTTTCTTGAAAGGAACAGTGATCACCTTGATTTGATAAAGGGATGTTTTGTATTTCAATATTTTAATTACGTTATAGAATAAATAGGTGAAATGATTCAAAATGAATGATATCCTTTTTTTTATCCGAGCATGCTGTATAGAGAATGGGGTTCGCTTGATGGTGGATGCAGAGCAGACGTACCTGCAGCCGGCTATCAGCAGACTGACATTAGAGATGCAGAGGATCTACAACAAAGAGAAGCCTGTCATCTTCAACACCTACCAATGTTAATGATGTCGCTGCACACACAAAATGCCGACTCAACAGTTATAATTCTTATAGAAGGAGAGCACGCTGTGACAAATCGTGTTACTCCTGATGTCAACATGTAAAGAGATTAGGATGAGTCAGCTGAGGATAGAACAGAGACATTGCCAAGAAGGGGATAATGTTGAAGGGAAATGTGGTGATTCATTTTTTATTTCTTAAACACACCATTTCAACTGAAAAAAAAAAGTGTAAGTCACAGTTGACATTCATATGATTATCATCCTTTTTTTTACGTGATTATTATTCCATAAGCTTACCACATTGTCACATAAGACTGTAAAATAAATATAACACATACTGCCTGTTGGATAAAATGAAGACCATAGATTATTGAGGGTCCCATTTTGTCACAATGGGTTGCTGTGCGTATACTACACCACTGCTTTGTTGCTGAACTTGCTAAAACCAGGATAAGGCATTCTTGTTCTCAAAATTGGTTGGTTTATTCCATGAGTTATTGACGTGGAGCCATAAAAAGAAGTGAGTATAACCCTGTTTGAGTAGCAGTCGTGTTGTGTGGTTGGTAATGCTATGGGGGCCTGGGCTAGGTCAGGTAGAACAGGTAGACCCATAAATCATGTAGTCTAAATGTATTGGGCTGCAAAACATCATAAAGCTCTGTAAAAGTTACATTGACAGCAAAGATTACACTGCTTTCACAATCTTGTATCTAAACTTGGAACTTGATTTATATCCGTCTTTGCCATGAAGTGAATCATTGTCCTCTTTTGCTCTGCAGGAGGCCTATGACAACATAACCATGGACGTAGAATTGTCTCGACGTGAGGTCTGGCATTTTGCTGCCAAGCTGGTGCGCGGGGCTTATATGTATCAGGAACGAGAGCGGGCTAGAGACCTTGATTATGAAGACCCCAATAACCCTGATTATGAGTCTAATATAATGTACCACAGGCAAAAATCCTGTTTCTTTGTTTTTGAATTGTTGGTAGCTGCCCATATCTGCATCCGCAAAGTATGATTGTTTTTTGTCTTACTACAGCAGGCACATCAGAATTTAGATGTTTTGTACAATGAAGAATTATTTTTGATATCTTGTAATTCTGCAATTTCTAGTTGTTTGCTTTTTTGTTATTGTGCTGCTGCTGCCTGTGCCAGCACCTATTCAAACATTTGATTTTTAATCCCCAAATGTTTTTGAATCCTTGTTAATTAAATGTTAAACAACATAAATAAATGATTTGCTTTAGCCAGGCTAATCTCTAATTCCTGAATATTAAAGCCGCTGCCTGCTGCTACATCCCTTACCATTGGAAAGCACACAGTTCCTAGGTGAGGTGTCCTCGAAAAACTTTGCCAAACCAATTTTCCCATGTGGTTCACAGATTTAAGCCGTCCACTTTCTAGGCACAAATCCACTGCTATGGACAGCTCAGGGAAGTGGTCCTTTAATTTAAATTCAAGTGGAGTTTCTGAGTTTAACATCTTGTGTTAGCAAGCATCCACCCTGTTGAGTTGTCCAAGTGCAAGTTACTGAATACCACCCAGCTCCAGGGTGCAGGGTTGTAACCATATTCTGGCAGTCCTAAATGAGAGCAAGTTCAAAGAAATCGTCTTGTGGAGATCAATATGTTTTTCACAAAAGCAGCAAAGGCCACCCTCAAGCATTCAATTGCATTTTGAGGTAAACATCAACATGTGAGAGACTACACGTTTAGATGATTTGCTACAGCACAGTATGAGGTGGGATTACAATTCTGCAGATGATGGTAAAGCACATGCATATTCAAACAGCTACACACTTAGTAAAGCACAAGTGCTCTCTGAACGGATTGGTTCAGATTTTTGGTAATTATATTCAGATTGAAGAGGTACATGTAATTGCAATGTTTGTTTGTTTGAAGATAGTACTGCAACATGCAAATGGTGATAAAAAATATGTGTTTGGGTGAGTTATGAAACAATGTCAGCCACAGAATGCAAACAATATTCTAAATCTTATATATATATATATATATATATGTATCATCTTGAATAATAGTTTGTAGTTCTTTCAATTGTTTACGTAAGCAGAATCTTTTGAGTTTCAGTAGAAATCTTGAAATTTTAACTATCATTCTTTTTTTATTCATGCCTTTTTTGTTCAGTTCAATTTGTTCACAAAACAAATCATTATTTTGTTTTTTTTATTTAACTCGCAATTTGTTTCATTGTAGCAGTCTAACAAAAGCAGCAGAAGGGCAAAAATAAGTACACTTTAATAACTGTTTATTTATCGCATTTTTATTATTATTGTTGTTGTGATATTCAACAAAGCAATTGCATATCATTAACTTTTCTAATATTTTGCAGCATTTTAGTTTTTGTAGAAAACAGGTTCTTACAAACAAAAGTAGACATATAAATATATAAAGTTAAATGATCTTTCATGTGTTCATTTTTATTTGTCCAGGTGCCTGGACTACGTGCTGGTGGTAGATTGCACTCAACAGAAATGCCAACGTTATGGTGGCTTCCCATAATGAGGACACGGTAAAACACACCTTGAGGATACGGCTGAACAATCCACTTCAAAATATTTTTGTATACAGCGTTGCATGTGAACGAAGAAGTTATTTTTAAGTCTCTCTGCAGTCTCTGCCTCATTCAGAATGAATGAGCTGGGTCTCTCACCGACAGAGAACAAGGTGTACTTCGGTCAACTCCTGGGCATGTGCGATCAGATCAGCTTCCCACTGGGTGAGAAATACATGCACGAATACTCTCTCTCTCGCAAAGCCAACAATGACCAGGCCCTGTATTCCCTGCTCTACTTAAAGCTCTTTCACACCAAACATTCATCAAAGAACTAGTTGCGATTGAGCCGACTGTTGTGCCACCTCACGTTGCATCCATCTTGGCCAAAAAGTCACATTTGAACAAAATGTGAACACTCAGCAAAAACCACAGTAAACAGCCAACTATCACCTCATTCTGCCACTGCCTGAGAGAAATTAACTCTCCACAACAGGGGGCTGTTGTCTGTATTTGTCATTCGAAAATAGAATCCGAAAAACGTAAGACTGTAGATATACAAGCCGTTGTTACTATACATGCATGAAAAAACAACAAAATTTTATTTGTGTCTATTAGCTTCATCACTTAGCTTCATTCTAGATGATTTTGAATGATTAGATGAAATGAAGATGAAGAGTGAACTTTGTGTGCACTCTTGACACTCTTGACTTTTTCTGTTTTGTTTATTTTCCTCACGTTTTTTCTTCCCCTTCACTGATTGGCTTAAGCTGAACAGCCAATCAGAGTGATTTATCTTGCAGACAAGAGGAAAAGTGCTGACACTGCGGGACCTTTGCAAAAACTAGGCTGACAGACTTTTGGTGTGTCAAGGCCTTTTAGGATGATGTTAGTGTTTTAAATTCAGCCTCTGCAGGATGTGTGTCCACTGCCCTCCTCTGTAACTCTCCCCGCTGTGTCTCTACGAGAGCTCGGACTGCATGCAGTGCACATGGAGTCAGTCTGCAGCCCATAGCGTGACATATGAACTGAGACACCTCGGTATTGACAAGCTGTCCTAATGAAACGCTGCTGCGGGCTCTCTCCACTTTGTTTGTCTGTCAAAGACAGACTCGGCAGCGGCAGGCTGCTGTCTGTCAACGTGAGGCTCAAGTTGAAACAGCCCTGACCGGTATTGATGTAAACAGACACTATGTGTTTCTTTGCAGTTTTCTCCAGGGATAGAGCAGCCAGCGTCTTTGAATTTCGAAACAGTGAAGAGCTTTCTATATTGAATAAAACATAGTGGAGTTGAGATCTTTTGCTTTTAAAAAAAAGGTGCCAATATTGAGTTTTCAAAACATTGTTTTCAGATATTCTGTTGCGCAGAAAGACTTTGTACTATTTTATCCTGTTTTGATGTTATGAGAGTAATTGTGGATTTGTTTTAAGGACATTTAAGCCCTTGCAAAAAGTCACAGTATGTGAGCCTGACAGCAGCGCTTTTAATTCAAAAGCAAACTGAGGTTGCCTGTTCAAAAGCTGCAAACCTGCCTTATTATAAACACTGTCGCGAGTATTTTGTGAGGGAAGCCAATTGAGATGACGTCCAGTCAGGGCCGCCCCTCCCTACAGGCTGATCACGCAGACTGCGTGGGGCCTCAGCGGATAATAAGAACTGGATACAGCGTGGGAGGCGGGGCCACATTCATTCCTATGAGAGCTGCTCATTGGCGCATGAAGACAAAATGGCCCAACTTTTGAGGGAGCGAAACATCACAGATTACCCGTCATGCCTGAGAACGAAGTACCCGTATGTGCGCTCATAGAGCATGCGCAACTTTAACCACGCCCCCCAAAAGGCTTGTTCACATCAAGCACGTCAATTTGCGTACACGTAACAGCACCGCACGTTCATGACAGCATGGTACTGGATTGTTATGATGGATTTGATATTAACGAGGCGGCCGCGGCAGTTAGCAGCTAGCGGCTAGCTAGTAATTATGCTAAGTTACACATCAATCGTTATGTAGCCTACTTTTATATTACGCTGATGTAACAGGATCTAGTGATATCGTAGCAACAGAGCTTAATTTAGCATGATACTTTTGTGGGTTGTACATGAAACCACTTGGTAATATATAAAAATGTATGTATTTTGAAGCCTGTTATGATCAATTGTGAGTTAAATCTTTATCTAAAAAGTAAAGCTGATGATGGATTACTGTGGTGGAGTTAAAATAACAATAGCCAATTTCTCTTTGAAATGTGATGGAGTAAAAGAATAGTAACTGTGATTATTCATGTTAAGTACCCCACAAGTAACTAAAACGTATAATACTTGAAGGAAAGGTGTAAAATGTTTCCATAAATACCAATATCACACACTACAACACAGACTATAACACCCCTTGTTGTTAAATACCAACCATGTGTATATATATATATATGCCGCTAAAACTGTGTAATATATACCTGGCTGCTAAATCCTCCAAACTGTTACAGGATGTGTATTTTGTAAAATGTGTAACTTTTTTTATTATAATTTCTTTTTTTAAATCTTTAATACTTTTTGTATGCATACTTTAAGTAACATTAGGCTGTCTTTGGCTCTTTTCTGCTGTAACAATGTAAATTTATTCTGATTCTGATCTAATTGATATGTTTTTGTCAGAGTTTGTTTCCCTATATTGCGACACTTGTTTTGAGTTGTTTTAGGTCAGGATCCTCTCTATGGTGCACCTGTAGAAGGTCAGGATCCTCTCTATAGTGCACCTGTAGAAGGTCAGGATCCTCTCTATGGTGCACCTGTAGAAGGTCAGGATGCTCTCTATGGTGCACCTGTAGAAGGTTATGCTCTATGGTGCACCTGTAGAAGGTTACTCTCTATGGTGCACCTGTAGAAGTTGCAGAGTATCCTGGAGTCCATGTTGAACCTCCTCAGCCTGCGGAGGAAGAAGAGCCGCTGTCGAGTTTTTTTGGTGATGGTGTTAGTGTGATGAGTCCATGTCAGGTCCTCAGTGATGTGAACATGTGGCTGCATTTCCCGCTTTAGATATACGATTTCAGGATCGGGGTCTAATCGCCAAAGACTTAACATTGATCATATGACATGTGTCAATAAATGTTCTTTAAACAAAATGAAGTCTCTCCTGATTGAACTGTCTGGACCCCATCCTCAACTTTTTTTCAAACCATAACATGCCTTCATAGGGCTTTCCTGTTGATCATGTATGGTGGATTTTTTAATAGAATAATTGTAATCAATATTACATTACCTTTTAATCTATATAAGCATAAAACAACACTAAAATAAACACTACAATACAACTTGTTATTTGTTTTTTGAAAAAACACAAGGTTGTTAATTTGTGTGTATAAATATACAACACAGGCTATATATATATATATATATATATACATATACAATTATAATTAATACAATTAATACAACTGTTAATTTGATTAGAGCTTTAACACATATATCTTTATTTATATATGTATAAGTATGACGACTTCCCCGGGCGATATCATATGGTATAGCAAATGAATCAAACTGGTTCAAAACGTGTTGTGCCCACATGCAAAGGTTGTACACTCTGGCTTATCCCTGCGTGGTATTATATAGTAATAGCAAACAGCTACGTTCAACTCCTTTAATGGTAGGCTATATTGCAACTGCAATAAGAAGCAACAGGGACGTTAATCTACGTCGGTAATATTAACTTTATTTAATACAACATTTACGGTACAAGATTTACATCATACAGCCCATGTAGTATAATATTTTACAAATGATGAATTACAGCAAACATGTGCAATATATCCATTATTACAGCTCCGTGGGCTGGCAGTAAGGCGATATGGATCCGTTTTTATTGTGCATCCATGGGTAAAGGTAAAACGCATGCAGTGGCGTTTTTATATGTACAAAAGTGGTGGGGCACAAAAAACTGTCTATATATAAGCTTCTGCAGTGACGTGCAGTGAGGTTCATGGCTGGTGAGGCACTGGCACTGACTCTTCAGGTTTACAAATATTATATTTTGACCTAAACCAAAATATAATATTCAAAAGCTTTTTTTGTCTGATGCTTCGATTAATTTTAAACAGACAGTTCAACAAAAGGATACCCAAAAAATGTCATTTTATCATTTAAATATTGAATTGTTCTCTCTTAGTAAGTTCCCATTTTCAATAAAATTGCGGTCTTACCTTGACTTGAAGATGAAGTCCATTTGCCTATCCTTCTGGACAAAAATGTCTATTACTTTTTTGTAAAAGTCCTCCTTATCTTCTTGTAGTTTCAAAAGTCTATCATAAATCTAATCGATAGATTTATGATTAAAAAATTATAAAAGTAGGGTAGACATGTGGATATTATCCGGCTGAACAAAACGTGCATTTATCTAACAGGTACGTTTCCCACAGATCTTATTTCGAGCTATTTTCTAAAATCCTATGGAGAAATCTCATTGCTTTTTTGTCGAGGGAAGCCATGCGCAGCTTACTTCCGGGTTTTAGGACGTCACTGCAGCTCTCTCGTCTCCTCTTCACACACCACACTTTTCGCGGCACACGTACTTACAGCCAATCAGCTCTGAATTATGTGAGATGACGTATGGTGGGGATGGCAGCTCAGTGCCCCTATGGTCATTATTTTTTTGCCACACACATTAAATAGGAAAATACTCTGATTATGCGCAGTGTAGTTTTTACAGTCACCGTTCACTTAGACAGTGAGAGGGAGGGGCATGATCAGGTTTTGTCCCACATGGCTCTAAACAGCTCAATAGGCACACACTGTAGACACTAATTAGAAGAACACAGACTAAAACAGCAATGTACAGACGAATCAGATGATTAACCATGATCTTAAAATATATTTTATATATATATATATATATTTTTTGCATTTTTTGTAATCATTATTTGTAATACTTTCTGCTGACACTAGGTGGGGCTGTGCCCCACCTGCCCCTAATGACCAGTCACCACTGAACGCATGTAGTACTGAACACGTAACATGAACGTGCCGGGCGGCGCGGTCCCGTGGGTTAGATCCGCGTTCATAATGCAGAGGAAAATAACTCTCAGAATAATGTTATTAGCACATTTTACAACTTGAGGACCGAATGTTTTTAATAAGGGCTATACAAATGTTCATACTGGGTAGTTTATTTAATAAAAAAAAAAATATCCAACAATTTACAGACCACTCTTTCCCAATGTAAGTCGTCCCCTATGGGCCGGTGAGCGAGGTGATGCCCTACCTGTCTCGGAGAGCCCAGGAGAACCGGGGCTTCATGAAGGGAGCCCAGAAGGAGCAGGATCTGCTGTGGAAGGAGCTGAAACGCAGACTAGCCTCCGGGGAGCTTCTCTGCAGACCGGCATACAAACACAGAAGAACAGACAATGAGTGTGTCAATGTGTCCAGCACTTTTCTTTTCATCTTCTCTAGTTGACGGCTGCTGCTGGGGCTGTCTGTTCTGTCTCTCCCTCCCGGCTCTCCCTGGATCTCCTGTTTTACCCTGTCCTAAAGTCTCATGCTGATGGACTGTTTCAGCATGTCACTCTCTTATTCTGTCTTAGCCTCGTTGTTTTTCTCCATTCTTCACTGATGTTACCCACCTTCACTCCCTATGTGCCGCCCATGTTCTCTCTATTTATTTTCCTTATCTGCCCTGCACCCATAAGCATTCCTCATTTTGTCTTTTCCCATTGTCGGTAGAGCTCTGGTATCCATCAAGTGGGCATCTTTACTGCTCCAAAAGGACTCCCTAAAATGTCAGCGAGACAGGGGCGGGCATCTGTTTTTATCACCCTATTCATCTCAAAGGGGGACAACAATAATAAAAATAACAAGCTTGATTTAAATGGTAGTAAAGGAAACATCAATTTTACAATTTTTTTGATACTCCTGGACAGCCGTGCAGTCCCCCCCAGGGAGACTTCTCTGCACTGCTTATTTGCGTGCTGCGTTAGAGCTCGTATTGCTCATTTGAAAATGATGCCTGTTAATGAATCAATGACAAAGTGTAAACGGCTCCTCTGAGCACAGTGCGCTTCTCAGTGCTTTTGTTATTGTATTTACTAGTGGAAGCCATATTCTTGGTTACTGAGGTGTTAACCAAGAATATGGTTCAGAATTCAGTGAGGGAGAATTATTTTATTACAAAGGCCTGCAAGTCTGGCAGGTTATTTTTTCATGACACAAAATACTATGTAAGGGAACAATACATTTGGGAGCAGCTTTTTATTCTTCTCCAATGGATTAACACTGCAGTTTTTTATCTTTGAAAATGTGAATATGTTTAAAGCATATTTCTTCTTGGTTTTACATGTCTCACTTTATTTAACCTGTGAAATGGCCCAATGAATAAATATGAACTGTAATGAATAACCCAAATCTAATTTCATTTTTTGTCAAAAGGGGGACTGGGTGTTATTGACTGCAGTAGCTGTGAGCTATTTGCACAGCTTGGTTGTTTTGGGTTTTAATTATGTGACATTTTCCACTTGGTTATTGATACACTATTAGTATTTGAGTCAGGGGGTAACCAAGCTTCATGATAATTATGGCCTTGTCATTTTATGAGAACAGTCAGTGCTCTATAGACCATCATTTAATTACCCATGATGCCATGCTCAATACAGATCACAGAAATTGGATGCATTAATCATTACACAGAAGAAACTTTAGTGGCTGTTAAGTTTTACTGAGGCAAAGCACCACAGAGCTGTCACTGCCGCTGTATTCTATCGGTTTAATTAAGAATCAAGTCGACTTTTGATGTAAGATATGCCTTTGGGTATACACTTGCCAACAAACTCCATCTAACAGGGCACTGGCGCTCTCCTGGTTAGCTACATTTGCAAAGAACACTAAGAAGGACACATTGTACTGGATTCAACATCAGTTCCAAGTCGAACTTGAAAGCTCAGCATATTCTTTGGGTCTTATCAACACAATGCCCTGCTTTAAAGCAAACAGGGATGTAATAGAGTCAATTGGAGCTAATTTACTTTACTTATTAAATGTTGACAATTTATTATGCGAGATATAAAGGATGGCATGGGCATTCTTGAAAGGGTTTGGCTGCCTTTTGGCTTCTGATGCTTTCAATGTTTTAATGTTATTATCTTTTTTTTTTATCTTTCCACTCAACATATTTTACACATTCTAGCAGAGGGATACCTCCTTTGTTTCTTCCATATTTTTCAGAATAATTTTGGGGTTGCTTTGGGGAGTTTTGCCTTGCGAGGGGATAAGGACAAAAGCGAGGGTTATAAGACAAAAGTGATATTTTTAATATTGGGCAATATGAATAACATTTGATTGATTGATTTAAAAGCACCTCTTAACATGCTGTGATAGGCCCTGATTTGAAAACATACATTTTTTTCCCAGTCAAGAACTGTGAGAATATATTGCTTTTCTGTAGCACAATTAATGTATTTGCTTGCTGCTGAATTCAAACAGGTAGTTAATCAGCATTTTATTTCCAAAAGATGAATTGACAGAAAGGAGTGCTATGGTTTTGAGCCACCCAGGAGTATTGTGTATTATATCGACTGACAGCAAACTGAGAGATTAGTGGCTCACAGTTTACAAAACACTGGGCCTATACTCATTTAATACAAGAGCTGCATCATACCCTTAGACATTAGATGATGGTAAAATGTTCACTCCTGGAGTGCTGAGAGAGACTTTCAAAATCATTTTTGCAATATTTAGTGCAAAGCTAATGTAAAAACCATCAATCTCTTGTAAAAATGGAAAGGGAGTTTTATCTGTAAGCACAATGCTTACCCTGCGGTAACCCCATCCAAAAATTACCACCAGTGATTTAATCCTCTCACTCAACAACACTTTAGTTGGAGCATGGACAAACCATAAGGGAGGGTCCATCAGTGTAAACTGTAGCAATGGTAGTTATACTCACACACTTACTGTTGGTTGCCTTTTCAGACACAGCTTCAACCACAATCAGCATCAAGAGGGGCAAATGCACCCACTTATACAATCAGGGAGAGCAAACATACTGTATTTTGCAGCTACACCACTTTTTCTAATTCAATTATCATCCTACAGTTTACACAAAGAAGTGATTATACTTAAGCAGCCTATAGCATATCAATGATGATTTTACTATTTTCAGATCGTGGCAAAAACATGGGCTGATTCCATAATGTTCACATTTTTGACCAACGTGTTGATTCAGGCAAAAATAGAAGCTAAATGGTAGCCACAGCATGAAAATAGAGCCTATCGTATGTTAATTAACCTGCTTTGCCCAGTCAAACCTTAACTTAGCTAAAAGCACAACTGATTTGCGAGTCAACGTTAGCTAATATTTCCAGAAACCCCACATTCACTAGCTAGCTGAGGGAGCTAACTTAAAATGTGGTTCTGAAATTTACCATTTAATATTTTGTAACTCTGTTGAATGTATTATTTGGGATGTGGTGGAGGACAAATCTAAAATGTAAGGTGGTGGCTTTTGATTTAAAAAAAGTAATCAGCCCATTTAATCCACAACAGGCTTTTTAAGTTATCAGTTGTATCGAGGAGTATCCTGCTCCTTTAGTTCTTCATTCTTCTTTGCATATAGAATTTCAATAAGGAAGAGGTGATTCAGAAAGACCTTCAACAATAGACAGAAAACTATTTCCTGACATTGCAACATAATCGCAACATCATTTTTACATGGCCAGTAAAAAATGACAAGCTCAGTACTCAGTATATTGGCAGCAGTGAAAATGCTGCAAGACATGTTGTCAATATTTTATAGCAACATCTGAGGCTAACTTGGCACAAAGGTCTAACAAGGAGAAATCAGGAGAAAGGAGGTTGTTAATTTTTTTCAAGAACAAAAATCCAATAGCTACCAAGGAGAAACCAAGCACCAAAACTGAAACTTGGTGCCATGTAATATCCTGCAAATAATCCCTGAATAAATGAAAATATTCAAAAAATATACTTTATCCATTCCTATATTTTTCAACTGTAATTTAGACCCCACTTTTAGAATCACTGCCATAGTCTTGTATACTATAGGAGTTATATGTTTACTATACATCTACAGCCTGTAATCAGAGCATATACAATACAAATAAAGCTTTAACCTGCAATCAGTTAGCCTAATTTAAACTAAGACTGTAGGAGCTCACCACGCATGATCAATAAATAATCTGCACAGTACATTACACCTAAGAAAAGGCAACAACCAACATGTTGAATAGTGTATCTAATAGATGCTGGTAGGGATGTTAAAGCCAAGAGCTAAGTTAGCTGTTTCCCTATTTCAAGTTTTAGCTAAGCAAACCAAAAACTGGAAGCTTCCTCGTTAGCCTTTTTGAGCTATTCCTTTATTATGGGAAACATAAATACAGACAGCTAGATACTAACCAAATCATTTCAATACACAAGTGGGCAATGACAAATGGATTCAGAGATGGATGGACAAATGATGAGTCCATTATGCACAGCTTGGACAAAGAGCCAATTAACCGTATGGCATTCATGAAAGCATCAAGATTCTTGATCAACTTTGGGTCTTGGCAGGATTTATTTTACTGCAAATTACTCCAGCTGTGTTTGTACTACTCATCAACATAATGTGAAACTATTGCAAGCTTGCTTCACATCACCACCTGTCCTGGCAAGTCCATGTTTGCAGCTACATTTCCCTGTAGACAGCAACCACCAGCAGACTTGTCTACCACGTCTGGTAAATTAGTGGTTAGCCATGGTTTACAATGAAGAACAAGAAGGGAAGTAGTTCATTGATACGTCCAAAAAAGCACCATCAAAAGTTGATTTTTGCCTGAAATGCTCCTTTTCGTACTGTCAGGTTACATTTTTGGATTACTTTGCCTCTAATTATGATCTGAAATGAAAATAATCTGTGTTGTACATCCCAGTTACTTAGTTAGAAATGTGATGGATCATTGAGCTGAGTTGACCTCAGAGCCCGTACCCAATCCTCATCTGAAGGAATCCCCCTGGCCTCGGCATGCTCCGATGTGAACCAGCGAGTTATCAAATGAGTCGTAAACACAACAGATGGGACAGGCGATGACTAATCTCATCGGGCTGAATAAAGTGGCAGAACGAAGCACAAATGATCAAAAGCTAAGGGAGAGCAGGAGAGATGGGAGGTTTGACAGTGTGCAGGACTGAAAACATTTTTATTTCACACACCAAAGCGCTACATCGTGCCGCCTCCAATGGTGTCATCACTGTGCTATCAGACACAAATCACTGAAATCATCTGCCAAATCTCCTGAGTGGATGTGTGTGGCAGGGCGTCATTACTCATCACAGGTTTTGTGACAGGGAGGGAAGAAAAAATGCAAATAACATCACACGCCTCACACATCCCTGAATGTTTTTTTTCTTTTCTATTCCAGTTAGTTTGTCCTAAATGAATGGCTTGTGTTTTAAAAAATCTAAATGTAG